TTTGTTTTAATAATCGAAATAGCTATTTCTCCATTTGGCTTGACAGAGGAACAATGAGAGTAAACTACACGAAATGTCTATATAGATGTCTCTCTATTCTCACTCTCTCTCGCATCGTGAGTTACCACTAATCCATTGCCGCCTATGATGCCATCGGCGAACATGTGACCATTGATCAGATGAGGGTAGGCAATATCATCAGGAGTTGCTAGTATCCATCCCACCGCCCGTCGATAAAGAGAGAGAGAGAGGAGGAGGAGATAGCTGAATGTATATACTTCAACTTTATGCCAATCGCTTTGTTACAAGCTGATTTCTGGCTCACATGATCATTCACGTTCGAACCCTAGAATGTGACTTTTGAGTCTTCAATACTTATTACACCGGTCTGTACGTAGAGTCATTGAAAGATACTGTTATAGTTCCCAAGCAAAATGCGTGCATGATTCTACTTTTGAACACCCATCAACCGGTACCAGTGAAAGGGCACGTCCTTTGGTGAAAAACGAAGAAGAAAGTAAAAATAATAATAATAATTATTTGCTTTTTTTTTTTTGTGTGGGGGTCATCATGTGGTCAAACCTAGCTAGCTCCCCCCTTTATTTACTGTTTCCAAATGTTGAAAAGAAAGCATGCAACCGGAGAAATCGGCTCAGCCTGTCACTCCGACTTTCCACAGGAAGAGTCCAAAAAGGGCGAGGGTTTTCAAGAAGAAAAAGGGTGGGGGTGGGGTCCGGAGGAACTGACACGTGTCAGTCACATTCCTGCGAATTTGGCCGCAAAACCTGAAACGGCGTGAGGAGGGTGTTTTCTTCCTGGGGTTGGTCCAAATTTAATGAAGGTTTGGTCCTTTTTCCTCTTTTCCGCTCCAGAAAATGGCCGGGTGGCGAATCCCCACCAACACGTCATCTTTCTCTCTTCATTTCCCATTTTCCCCCCACAGTTCTCGAGAGAGAGAGAGAGAGAGAGAGAGAGAGAGAGAGAGAGAGAGAGTCTGAGATTCTTGTTTCTTTGGCCACACACTCCAATGGCAAGTTTGCCTATATTCAAGTCTTTCTCCTCTGTACTTCTTCTGCGATTATCATCGTTTATAATATGCATAGTTTTAGGTTTACTTTGGTTATTGAGTGGCAGAAAATGGGTTCTCTTCTGATATTTCTTGCTCTGCTGTTGTTTTAGGGTTAGGAAAATACGTGAAGCCCCTTCTTTTTTCTTTCTTTTAAAGGGTGTGAAGCGAAGAGAGCGAGAGACGTGGGTCCTGCCTCCCCTCTTTCTGGTCAACATATTCTTTGTTTATAAAGTATTCTGGACGAGAATTTTGGCGGGAAGTGCGGTATCATCAACGATATGAGCAGGTATTGTTCTTTGTTTAAGGAAAAGAAGTTCTGTCTTTTGTTGTATTGTTTTGGGTGTTATGTATGTGTGGGGGGGTTTGTTTTTTTCCACGGGTGGTGTTTCGGATTCTCTCTGCTGTTTTAACTTTAATTCCAAGGGCAGACACACACGAGGACACACGGTCAGAGATTTCTCAGTCAGTTCTAACAACAGATTCGCTGACATATAAAGAAACTTTGCATGTAATTCCATTCAAAAGATGGCTCTTTGAAACCTTTTCATGATTCCATTTCTGCAGAGGCTCTGCTCCCTCCCTCCCTCCCTCCCTCCCTCCCTCTCTCTCTCTCTCTCTCTCTCTCTCTCTCTCTCTCTCTCTCTCTCTTCACATCTTGCATGGGTGTGTATATATACATCACATGGATGAATTCACAACTGTAGTATATCCATGTATTTCAAAAGTAGAATCCACCCAATCTATCAAAAAACATCATGGTACTAAGTGTAGGTGAAATAGCAAAGTACTTCCATATATGTTTTCGTTTGAAAGGAATGGAATCGGCAAATTTTACAACTATTGTGTCCTAGTTGCACTACTCACAACCTTAGTGATTTGAAATTGGTGCAGTCGTTCTTGTATTAGATTTTATTTAAGGAAACTCTGACATTAATAGGTCAGATGTGTTTCAACATGTTTAATAATATAACCGTTTTATTTTGTATAAGTGACATAATATAGAGAAGTCCATATCTATATGCTCAAAACCTTTTATACTAAAATGTTTTAGTTAGCTATATGTAGGCAGTCGCTTTTCACCTTATGACCATAATGTTTGGTGATTTGATCCTAATCTCTCTCGTGACTGACTCCATCCATGATTAAGCAAGATCTGGTTTTCACTGTGGATATTTGAGTGAGCCACATTTGCCTCGGTCGAGGACGATAGGGCCTCGTCGAGCCACCGCCAAATCTATCTCCGCCAAGTCCTGGCTCCAGCGATGACACCTAGGTGAACGCGAATTGGCTCTATCCTCATTGAGGAACGCCCTCCACTATCTTAAACAAATACAAACGCAAACACAAAGGATGAACAGGGCTAGAACCTGCAAAAAGATTGTGACAACAATGGAAACTTAGGTGTGTAGGCGAAGCAGTTGCTTTCACGATTGCAACAGCAGCGGATGCGTCTTTAGACCTTATGTCGTTGGGATCATATAAGTCTTCGTTTTAGTAAGGTTTTCCCTGCGTGTAGTGATTTTACATGGGGATGACTTGACGGGATATGAATGGCTCCCATTTTTCTGTGCAGCACTGTTTATACTGCGACAACGTCAAAACCTCTCTTTTGATGGACATATATTCTTCTCTTAAGAGAGCCATTGCCATCAAATATTGTACCTACTGCATCAAAGTTGTCACTAGAAGCTCTTTTTGTCATTGCCACTGCAAAAATTTATAAGGACTTCTAGGAAAAAACTTCCCCCCCTTTTAACAATGTTGCTTTTTGGTTGCCCTTCTACACTTCTTTTCTTGTGGAGTTTCAACATGCACGCGCAGACACATATAGCTCCTTTGGTTTTTACATTGTAGGTACATCCTTTCTATGGAAACTTGTAGATTTATGCCATGGATTTGTGAAGCGTTTTGAAGTGCAATGAACTATTCTGAGCTCAAATTAACAGTTAGATGAAACTTTTATGTATAGTGTTTGACATGGCTAGTGCTAGCTTTGTTGGTCATTCATGGTTAGTTTGGTCCATTTTCAATGGGGTTCATGGTTAATTACTAAACAATTGGTCTAAACTTGATTACTCAAAGGTACAAAAAAAGACACTATTAGCTGTGCTAGCTAGCACCACACAAGCTTCTAGCGTGTTATGAAGACATGCACTGGACCAAACATATTAAATTCAATAAATTAAGCTTTTGCACATTTTGACTGGTGCGAATACCAATTAAGTGGTCAACAGATTTCTACTTGGGAAACCCAACAAAATCCTCCAATTTCTCTCCGATATTTTACTTGGGGGGGTCCGAATATTTTACCGAACGTGAGCTTGGTGGTATTTGTTGAACAGGAGTAATTCTTACTCATCTCCCCCATCGAGTCCTTTTTTCAATTTGATATGTCGGGTTCATTAAGCCAATAAGATAATGCATGTCCGTACACACACATCTTTAACACATGCATGACTCGGGGATCAACAAATTTTGGCTTGCTCGTGGTTGATAGTCCATGATCGTCTCCCTCAACTTTAATATATATTTCAGAGAGATTAGAGCAGGAGAGTCAGAGAGAAGGACATTATTTTACTAGTAACAATAATGATACTAAACTAAAGATACGAACTTATTTCTTCGTGATACATAAAGTTGCGTGTGGCTATTAAAAAGCAGTGCTATGTACATGTAACTCATGCCCGCTATAAACGTTAATGATGTGTGGTTTTAACGTAAGTTTTTCTTTTTGGTACATTAGCATTTGTGAATAGTTTGCGGGTGTGTGTGTGTGTGTGTGTTGGGTATTTTACTCAATATTTTAAGGAGAGGGAAGAGAGATGATTTGGTGAGTGTGGGAATGCTGGGCTTTGGGGAGTCATTAGTTGAAGAGATCGAGGACGTGAGTTCCGATGAATCAAGTGGGTGTTGAATGGAGAGAGAGAGAGAGAGAGAGAGAGAGAGAGAGAGAGAGAGAGAGGATAGTCATACAGTGAACTTAGGGTTATAATCTTTAAGTTCTGTCCAGTTGGAATTTGTGGGTATGTCTCTGGCCTCACAGATGACTGAAAGATCTTTATCTCATTCTTTCAAAGGGACACTCGTGGCCTCGTATATATATTGCAATATGTATATGTATACTATGTTTCCTTTACTTAAAGCATCGCTTGATTTTGAAGTTCTGGACCAAAGAGTTATGCTAGCATACACTTGATGGGCTCTGTACATTTAAATAATAAATGGAAATATATATGTTAGATTAAATAGTGGATATCACATGATGGTTCACTTAACTTAATGAATTTTATGTGCCATTTGGTGGACAACTAGGGTGGATAAGGAACACCCAGTTGAAAGTTCTGCTGCATTTTCAGTCAGTACTTAGTAGGGAGAGAGAGAGAGAGAGAGAGAGAGCATTTAAATACCTGGTGTACTCATTCATGGTTTTCCCTTTTTCAACCTCTCCTCTCCTTAGTCCTCACTTCTATCATGTTTTCAGAAACCCTACTCCAATAAAGCTCAAAATCTTCTTCTGCTCCTCCTGAGAGAGAGAGAGAGAGAGAGAGAGAGAGAGAGAGAGAGAGAGAGAGAGAGAGAGAGAGAGTTTTCATCATCAGGCAAAAGGTGCAACCCTAGTTACCATTTCTAAGGTGAACATATCTTATCTCAGGCCAGTTCATTTTCAACTTTTTTAGTACTTTTGAGCAGTCTGGATTGGCTGGTCTTCCTCCAGATTATTTCTGATAAGAAGATCTGATTCGCTCTCTCTCGCTCTCTCTCTCTCTACCCGCCCCCCCCTTCTTTCTCTCTCTGCGACTTTTTATGATTCTATATGCAGGAAACGTTGGGTCTCTGGTATTTTGCTCAAAGACATCAAAGTAGTGCAGTTGCGACTAAGTACTACTAATTACTGAAGAAGAAGAAGAAGAATATTTGTTATAGGGGCCCGATGAATTCAAACAACTGGCTATCGTTCCCCCTCTCTCCGTCATCTCACTCTTCCTTGCAAGCAAATCTTCAGCCCACTCAGCCTCATCAGTTTTCTCTGGGGTTAGTCAATGAAAACATGGACAACCCTTTTCACAACCAAGGTAAAATTACTTAATTGGAAAACCCCACCCAAAAAACGAAGTAGTTATTATGCTATATCTGTTGGTGATTCATTTTGTCTGTGTGGTTTTTTTCAGAGTGGAATATGATCAATGCTCACGGGGCTAGTGGCGAGGTGCCAAAGGTCGCAGACTTCCTGGGGGTGGGCAAGTCAGAGAATCAATCGGATCTCACGGCTTTCAATGGGATGAACCAAGCTGGCGACTCCGATTACATGTTCCTGAGCAGCAGCCTTGTCCCGGTCCAACAGAGTGCAGTCGTGGCCGCAGCAACCTCGAGCAACTACGAGCTCCAAGAGAATGTGGGCAACCTGCAGTCACTGACTCTATCCATGGGCAGTGGGAGTAAGGGCTCGGCTTCGGAGATTAGTGGGGACAACACTAGCAACAACACGGTGGAGAATGCGCCAAGAAGGACCTTGGACACATTTGGGCAAAGAACTTCGATCTACCGGGGCGTTACAAGGTGTTCAAGCCTCACTAAATCCTCATAATTTCTAATAATTTCCTTCTTGTTTCTTGTTTATCATGATGAATGTCACAAAATTGAATGGCATATAGTTGCAATTTCTTTTTTTATTTAATTTGATTGAATTTGTTTTGGAGAAAATACCTGCAGGCATAGATGGACAGGGAGGTATGAGGCTCATCTTTGGGATAATAGTTGCAGAAGGGAAGGCCAGTCAAGGAAAGGTCGCCAAGGTATATATCTACAATTTATTTACATTTATGTCCTGATTATGATGAGTTAGTCTTCTTGTTTAAATATACTTCCTTTTTCACTTTGATACTTCGTGGTACTGACAAGATACATAATTTTTTGTTTGTTGGTGTTGTTCTTGGTGGTTCCAATAATCTTCTGTTCCAGTCTATCTAGGTGAGTGCCATCAATTTTTTTCGTTTAAATTTTTTTGGTTAACAGTTGCATTAGATGATTCTGATGACTGGTAAGCTAATTATTTCTGTCATTTTTTTGTGTAATTTTCTTTTTCCTATTTAGGTGGTTATGACAAAGAAGAGAAAGCCGCTAGGGCATACGATCTTGCTGCGCTCAAGTACTGGGGAACATCGACCACTACTAATTTTCCTGTTAGTTTCTTCTTTGCTTTTTTTGTCATTAATTAGTATGTACACACAAAAAAAAGGCTTGAATTATCGAATAAATCTTGTTTAAATGCGAGGCGTGGCTCAAATTTTTTTATTTTTCATGTTTGCAGATAAGTAACTATGAGAAGGAACTGGAAGAGATGAAGCACATGACCAGGCAAGAATTTGTGGCATCCATTAGAAGGTCAGATAACATATTTAAACGGAAATCTTCGTTTCTATCTCGACAGTGTCGATTCTTTCTTCACTATCAAGCAAAGCTTATGAAGTTATTGTGTCGCTCTCCTTCACAGGAAGAGTAGTGGCTTCTCCAGAGGGGCTTCAATGTATCGTGGAGTTACAAGGTACGCTTCTTCTTCTTCTTCTTCTTCTACTTCTGCTGCTGCTGCTGCTGCTGCTACTCCTCTTCCTCATCAATTTAATGAACTCTAAGCAGGCATCACCAGCATGGACGTTGGCAAGCAAGGATTGGGAGGGTTGCAGGGAACAAAGATCTTTATTTGGGAACTTTCAGTGAGTAACTTAATGTATTGATGATGGGTTTTTCCCATTTTTCTCGAAAAAAATTAAATTCTGAAGATACACCATGGGATAGTCTCATGTTAATTAAACATTAAAATGTGGAAACATTTACAGCTCAGAAGCTGCTCTCACAGATAATATTTAACTGGAAAAGTTAGATCCTTGCTGAGAAAGTTTCCAAGGATCTATCATTTATATTGGAACATTCCATGCATGCACATACACTCAGTCAGTCAGTATCTATCAAAGCCAACACACAGTTTATTTGATTGAAGCACGTGCACCTTTCTACTCTAGGTTACTACCCCTTATACAGTACATTGACTCTTCTTTTGGCTATTCATGGAACTATGAACTGAATCGTGATGACACACTTTCAGGCACCGAGGAGGAAGCGGCTGAGGCCTACGACATCGCGGCGATAAAGTTCCGAGGCCTCAATGCTGTTACCAACTTCGACATGAACCGCTACGACGTAAAGGCGATCCTCGAGAGCAACACGCTGCCCATTGGTGGGGGTGCCGCCAAGAGGCTCAAGGAGGCGCAAGCCCTAGAGTCTTCGAGGAAGCGTGAGGAGATGATCGCCCTCACCTCGAGCTTCCAGTATGGGAGCTCGAGCTCTAGCCGCCTCCAGTCTTACCCTCTTTTGCAGCCATCTTTCGATCACCACCACCAGCCTCAGCCGCTGCTAACCCTCCAAAACCCCGAGATCTCGCACTACCCGCAGCAAACCGACCCTTCTTTCCACCATAACTACATCCAGACGCAATTGCAGCTTCATCAACAATACCAGAACCACCCTTACTACAATAGCACTAATTATCTTCAGAGCAACCCTGCGCTCTTGCACGGGCTGATGAGCGTCGGGTCTTCGACGACGGTCATCGGGGACAACGCTAACAATAATGGGAGCTCGAGTGGGAGCTACAGCGGAGGGTACTTGGGAATGGGCTCGAGCAGCGGCGGAGGTGGGAATGTGGTCGGAACGGAGGAGCTCGCCATGGTCAAGGTCGATTACGACATGCCTAATAGCGGTTATGGCAGCTGGTCGGCGGACTCGGTGCCAGGTTCGAACCCAGGTGTTTTTACGATGTGGAATGACTGATGATGGTGCTAGAGAGGAGAGGAGGAAGATCACGGCGTGCATGGAAGATTTTATATATAGCTTTTCAGTGCTTCTTTTACTAATGGATCGAAGCTGATTGGCTTCTACAAGTGCACCAACGAAAACAACCTTTTCTTAATTTCTTCATTCTTCTTCTTCTTCTTTTTTGTTGGTTTTAATTATCGGAATAGATTCTTGGATGAATCGCTAATCAAGTCAATCGCATTGTCAAAAAATTATATCAGGTCGAGCATTTCATGCGTCGTCGTTGCAATGTGATTGACTTGATTTTATTGGCGATGTTGATCGTTCGCGTCTGAACGAAAATTTTGTTGCCTCGAATCTAATGAGAAATATCTAATTATGGAAGACTTGAGATGATCGTGCTTTTTTATTTGAGTATGTTCTAATCTATACACGATAATGTAATAATGTATCCTCTCATTAAATGAGGTGTATTTATTATGTTAATTTTTTTCATTTACAATATGAAATGAGGCATATCAGTGCATTTTTTTCATCCATAAATATAAGTACTGTATTTTTTAAGGCTTTTCAATATTATACATAATTTCTGGGTGCTATAATAATGCATAAATATGTGATGGCTATCATCATTGGTCGGGAAAAATTACAAAAAAATTCATAAACCTTTTGCACTTGTGCCAATTCAGCCATAAACCTTTCAATTATGCCAATTTAATTATAAATCTTTTCATGTTTTGCCAATGTAGTCCATTCGGTCAATTGTAGCCGGAAATCCCTAGTGTGGATGCAAGCCGTCCGACATGGCACGATTGGCGCTGACGTGCTAATTTTGACGGGTCAATGTAATCGATTCGATAATTTTCGTTTTCTTTTTCCTTCTTCCTTTGCCAATCGTTGGGCCTCAGCGATGGCCAGCAAGGGTGACCCTCGTCGATCGTAGCCTGTTTAGGTAATAGCTCTATTTAGGTAGTCAATGAAAATGATTCCGCTAATTCGCTAATAGCTTTGTATAGGAAAGAAGGATCTTTTTGTCCATTTGGCCCCATCTTGGATAATATTTTTCACTTAACACGCTAGTTTAGGTAATGTTCTTTTAATCATGTGAGAAGGGAAGGTAATACAGCGGCTCATAGTTCAGCTAAATTTGCTTTAAATGTGGATAATGAATTGGTATGGGTCTAAGAGTGTCCGTCATGGCTGGAGCCTGCGGTTTTTAGTGATGTACTCTTGGCTCATTTGAATAATTATATATGCTATCATTTCTAGGGGTGAGTAAAAAAAAAACCGCCCGGATCGGCTGTTTTTACACTCTTCTCGGGGCACCGGTCCAGTCCCTAGTTCTATAAAATTGGAACTGATGAATTTCGATTTGGTTCTGGGTGTCGAACCACCCACCCTAACCACCCGGACCGGAATTTTTTTTTATAAAATTTTCTAATTTTTTAATTTCTAAAAAATTTGAAAAAAATCCTAATTTATCTCTCATTTCACAAGGAAAGGCCCTTCAAGGCTAGAGCAACTACATGTACTTATACATGTGAGTAAGATGACAAGAATAAATCAAAACACAATAGTAGTTACTCATTCTAACCAAATTGTGTCACAAATTGGAAAAATCTCTGTGAAATCTATAATGTTATATGTAACTCAGTGATTGTAGAAACGTTATAATTATTAAAAACTTCTTCAATTTTATCCTGAACATTAACAACAAATGAAAAAAAACTGAATATGCCATCAGTTCCATTGGCCCACTCGGGACATGTTTAGACCGATTGGTCCAGTCCGATTCTTGGTTCCAGAAACTAGGAACCAGTCCCTCTAGCCCGGTTAACGGATCCTAGGCGAGAACTGAACTGCCCGCAAACCGATCACTTCTAATCGTTTTCCTATAAAAAAAAAAGTCAAGTCAAAGTGTTAGTTGGTCGTTCAAAAAAAAGGATTCTATACCATTTTTGACTACAAAAAAGAGTTGTCATATCTCAGTAACGGGGTCTTTGTTGATTCTGAATCGCACTCCTGGTGAGGGCGACCCTCATCGATAGTTGCCTTTGGCCGGTCGTCGGCCATCGCCGAAGCTCGGCAACCGGTGAAGGAAGAAGGAAAAAAAACAAAGAAAGAAAAAGAAAAATATAAAAGATTGATAAAAATTTCGAAAAAAATATTAAAAAGTTAATAAATTTTGTCCACATCAGTGCCAACCATGCCACATTAGATGGCTGGCATTTACGTCAGTGATCTTTAGCTAGAATTGGCTGGATGGACTACATTGGCAAAACGTGAAAATGTTTAAGATTAACTTGACACATTTGAAATGTTTAGGATTGAATTGTCACAAATACAATAGGTTTATGAATTTTTTGGAAATCTTACCTCATTGATATGTGTACCTTTTTTTATGGCTATTATCTTGTGTTTTTTATTTTTCTAATTCCTAACTATGTGTATATGGTTTAAGTGAATCATCATTGGCTGTATATGTTTTTTTTATTTATTTCTTTTGTGTAGCAATTATGAGAAAAAAAAACATTGAGATGTATATTAAAAAAAAATTGGATGTTTATTGTAAATAAAACCTACTAAACATAAATAGTACAACGGTAAAAGGCAACAACCAAACAGACAAAGCCAATACACATTTGCATAAGGTCCAAATATTATAGGACTAATTACCTAAAAAATCCCAAACTTTTGGTCTAGTCTCAATTCTGCCCCGAACTTTTTTTTCTCTCAGAAAAAACCTCAAACTTTAAGTCCATTCTCAAATTTGCTCCAAACTTTAGATCCAATCTCAAATCCGCCCCGAATTTTGTTTTGTCTAAAAAACTCTTCAACTTTCAATTTATTCTCAAATCTATCCCCGTTGTTCAGTCCAAACTTGACATGGCATTTTCACATCGATAACAAATCCCACATCAGCAAGGTGACACAGAAAATTATCTCCAAAATTCTAAGATATGAAAATTAGGGACAACTAACAGTGATTGTTGGATAGAGGGTTAATGAGGGTAGGTTTGAAACTAGAGTAAAAATTAGTGATTTTTCTCTTAGACAAAAAAAAAAGTTCAGGATAGATTTGGGACTAAACTTAAAGTTTGGGTTTTTTCTGAAATAAAAAAGTTTGGGGTATATTTGGGATTGAACATAAAGTTTGGAGTTTTTTCTGAGACAAAAAAAAGTTTGGAGCAAATTTGGGACTAAACCCAAAGTATGGGGTTTTTTTTTAGACAAAAAAAAGTTATGGGCAGAATTGAGACTAGACCTAAATTTGAGGGTTGTTAGGGTATTGAACCTAATATTATAACTCATTCATTGATAATTTAATTCGATAAAAGTCGGTAAACAGAGAAGTTTGCTTAGGAAGATCACATAATCGGTATAATTCTACCAACCTAAGAACTTTACAAAAAAGAAATCTGCGCCTAAATGAAAGAAAAAGGATAATTGATGCTTTAATTGATCGGTATAATGCTACCAACCTCCTCGTTCAAATTTGGCCATTTTACTCCGCCTTCACTGAGTTCGTGCAAGCGTGCCAGATTGCTTATATTAATTGTTCCACAAAAATAAGTTATGATTACATAATTAGATTCGATTGCATGGTTTATAAAATGTATTCATAAACCATATTCCTAATATTTTCAATCTTGAAAATGTCTTTACTTATTGGATCGATTAATAAATTATCAAGTACTCTATTGTTCATGCGATTAACACAAGATGCCCAAGACATATTTTAATATTGTTTTTCCAATAGTTTCCAAATACTCACTTACAACGCATACTTGGAACTAAAACTTTGTCCATCATCCATCACAATCGTAAAGGAAATTATAGTTATATGCATGTTATTTTCCTTTCATAATTTCCTTTTCTTTTGAAGAGGAGTGCTACGACTAGAACAAATTATCGAAAAAAAAGTACTTCTTCAATTCGAAGTCAATTAGTGGTTTAATCGATGTAAAATCAATGAAACAAGAAATAAATTTCAAAATACTCGAGCTTTTGAATTTCTGAGTATATTTGAATATTTAAAGTATTAGAACATTTTCCATTTAAAGATCTATTAATCCTTATTTTAAGTTGCCAAAAACAATATAAATACTAGTTGTGCATGCCCGACGTATTCGCACACAAATGAAATTACTCACATGAATTTATATTAGAACGTACATAGTAAATTGTACTAATTTCAATAAGTAGAGCACAAAATCTGATTATAAGAACCTTTTATTTATAGAGAGAAGCAGAGTAGCCATTAATTCTTGAACCTTCAACCTAATTGGCTGGCTCACAATTTTCCATGATAATTTTGGATTAAACCAAATATCCAATCCATTACAAATTCAACTTGGATAAATGGCAATTTAATTTATGTATTTAAGTAATTGCCGAATAAAAAACTAATTGTCAAGTCACTTCATTATTTGCTATACAAATTTTCTCCGAATGATATAAGCTATTCACGGCACAAGTGGGATTTATGATGAGGATTTTAAAAATAGGAAATAGAACTAAATGAAATGTATAAGTTGCAATTTTTGTTCTTTAGTTGGAACGTTTAAATTTAGCTAATATCAAGAGGTGTTTTTTTTTCCAAGTAATAGAAGAAACTATCTCAGAGATTATTTTAATTAAACTTTAGATCGAATAGATAAATAATATACTTATTCACGTAATTGACGAAATTTTTACTTCGAATTATGAGTGGAGTACACAAGGTAATTTGGTATATTTCTCTTTTTGGCTCTATTTCCAATTAAATGGAAAAATAATTTATTTAAAGATCTTTTTATCTAGAGTATAACACAAGTTGATATCGAGACATTTTATTTTTATCTATTTCATCGGTTAAATATATTTTAAGATGCCTTCTCTTTTTATGTTTATAAAAATGAAATATGGATAAGACATTCGAAAGAAATCGAGTTCCCTAATTATCGGAAAACAACTTTCTTTTCTGGTCAAACGGAGAACAACTTAAATTAATTAAATAAAATTTTGTGAGTTGCCTTCATTGGCCTCCAAAGCTTACTGAAAGTCCAATTTTACCCCTCGTATAAAAAAAATAAAACCTAGATCTATCACCAGTCTCTTCCCTCTTCGCACGAGAGCCCCTCTTCAGTTCGCTCGCTCCGTTCGCTCGCTCGCTCGCCGTCTTCGCCCCGTTCGCCGGCTTCTCGCTCAGACCAGTCGCTCGCCGGCTTCTCGCTCAGACCAGTCGCTCGGTTCTCTGTTGCTCGCCACTTCCTTTGCTCGCGGAAGGAGGTACCGTTTTCGGACTCTTCTCCGATAGGGCATAGAATGATTTCGGAACGATTTTTGTTTTTTTTTGTTTTTTTCTTCCTGGTTTTGGAGATTGTGCCGCGGGCGATGGTGATGGTGATTTGCGTCGGTGGAAATTGTTATCGGCTGTGTTTTTCCTTGGAGCTTTCTTCTCTGTTCGTAAATCTAGACCCGAATTGTCTGGTGTCGATTTGGCTGCGTTTTGGACCATATTTTGCGGTTCTGATATCAAAACTGCGTGCGAAAGATTGAGTGACGATGGATTGGCATGACTAGGATGAGGAAAAATTTGGGGGTTTGTGCGAGTTAACATGGCCTGCAGTACCGTGGGACTTCCCATGGTTTTGATGTGTCGCAACGTATTGCTGTCAAAATCACCGAAAGCATGTTTTGATTTGCCAGTAATTTTCTTTCTCGAACACGCCCTGTGCCCCAATGATGGGAAAAACAACCTAGGAAGCCCCGGGCATGAACGGGAACTAATCTCAGATGTAGTGTGAACTGCTTCGGCATCAGCAGACAACAGACAGAAGAAACTGTTTCGGGTTGCAACTCGGTCTGTGGTTATAGTAGCAACACGTGGGATATCCGCTAGTTGATAACTTGACAGGAACCTCGTTAATAGTGTGTTTTAACAAGTGGAGCATTGTCTTGTGTTGAGTAGTGTTAAATTTGACGGTTTTTCGTGTCTTTCGTGCTTCCAGGGATATTTCTGCGCTCAGTTGGACATGGCAAGAACGCATGAAGATGATGAATTCGAAGATGGAAGAAACGATAAACGAGAAAGGAGGAGAGATCATCGGCATGAGCGTGGGCGCAGAGAACGAGATTCCGAATCTGGTTACAGAGACAAGGAGAGGTATTCTTCACGGGACTCTCAGTATGAACATGAAAGGGCCTCACATAAGAGATCAGAGCATAGTAGGACAGATGATGATAGACATGAGAGACGGAGGTATGATGATAGTGATGTGAAGCCTCGAAAGGATAGAGAGGTTAACAAAGGGCGAGATACCCCAACTGGCAATGAGAAAGAGGGAAGAGATGGCAAGAAGGTTGATGGTTCGAAACCAGAACAACCAACATTGCGGGAGGGCAATATGAACACTGATTCTTCAAACTTGGGCAGAAGTGGAGGAGTTTACATCCCACCATTTAAGTTGGCCAGAATGATGAAAGACGTCCAAGACAAAAGCAGTGTTGAGTATCAAAGGTTGACATGGGATGCTCTAAGGAAGAGTATAAACGGTCTGGTGAATAAAGTCAATGCAACGAACATCAAGAATATCATTCCAGAACTTTTTGCTGAGAATCTTATCCGAGGAAGGGGTCTTTTCTGCCGTTCTTGTATGAAGTCTCAAATGGCTTCTCCGGGATTCACAGATGTCTTTGCTGCATTTGTTGCTGTTGTCAACACAAAGTTTCCGGAGGTTGGTGAACTTTTACTAAGAAGGATCGTTTTGCAACTCAAGAGAGCTTATAAGCGGAATGACAAGGTACGGCCACACGCTTCTTGGTTCAGATTTCTTAGTTCACAAGGATCTTGTTGGATATTCATCCTTTCGATGTTAATTTTTTTTTTTTGGTTGTATTCTCAACAGCCTCAATTACTTGCTGCTGTTAAATTCATAGCACATCTAGTTAACCAGCAAGTGGCTCATGAGATTATTGCTTTGGAGCTGCTCACTGTTCTGCTGGAAAATCCTACCGATGACAGTGTAGAGGTGGCTGTTGGTTTCGTGACCGAGTGTGGTTCCATACTGCAAGACCTTTCTCCTAAAGGTCTACATGGTAGGTATATGTTGCGGTGTTTATATTATTTCCAGCTTGTTGCTCTTCTTTTTTAGCTTGTGTGCATTTATCATCAAATTGTGAGGCAATCTGTTGGATATGAATTCATCAGATTAGAGTTGGAGATCATGAAGGAGATGGAAGTTTTGATGAATGATTAAGCTTGTGTCATCCGTCAAATGGTGTGCCACCATGCAATATCCTAAGGCTTTGTATAGCGTGTCATATCATCCAAACTCATACTTGTATGTAGTTAAGAAGAAAATATTTACTATACTGTGTGCATGACCAGGAGTGATGCTGGCGAGTCTTCCTTTTATGTTTTCCTCAGTAATTTCTTGTACTACAGCTTCTTAATTGTGATAATTTTTTCAGGTATCTTTGAACGGTTTCGTGGAATTCTTCATGAAGGTGAAATAGATAAGCGAGTTCAGTTTTTGATTGAAGGTCTTTTTGCCATTAGAAAAGCTAAGTTTCAGGTCAGTAACTCCAATCTCTCTTGCTTGGGCAAGAAAGTACCATTTTTGTTCCGGAGAGGTTAATCAAGCATGCATGTCTTAGCCTTCTCACTATCATAACTTAAATTTATCCGTGTACATACAGGGTTATCCTGCTGTTCGCCCAGAGTTGGATCTTGTGGAGCAAGAAGATCAACTGACACATGAGATATCACTCCAGGAGGACATCGATCCAGAAATTACTCTTGGTATCTGTCTACCTATCCAATTATGGGGAACCTACTTATAATCTGCATATTCTGTCGTCTGATTTTTTTTTTCTTTTGTCATACTTGTTTCTGGATCAGACATATTCAAGCCTGATTCGCAGTTTGTGGAGAATGAGCAGCGTTATGAAGAATTGAAGAAAACCATTGTTGGTGATGAGTCCGAGGAGGAAGAAGATTCTGAAGAAGGCTCAGAAGATGGATCTGCTGAGGAATCTGAGGAAGAAGAGGATGAACAGATGAAAATTAGAGATGAGACAGAGACTAATCTTATAAACCTCCGGAGAACAATCTATTTGACGATTATGTCCAGTGTTGATTTTGAGGAAGCAGGGCATAAGCTATTAAAAATTAAACTGGAACCTGGACAGGAGGTGAGACACCTTTTCAGTCATTGCAGCCATATTTGAATACTTATCTTTTTTCTTTCCCTTGATTTCTAAGAAGGTTGTACATAATATGAAATGGTTTGAGTAAGTCTTATTATTTTTGTCCAGTGATTTTGAGAATTTAAGTAAACGTTGCTGATTTTTTGTCCCAAACCAGAAGTGGATTTAGCTGATGTACGTTTTTTCTTGGGAACTTGCTTTTAGGCCTGTATTTTCAGAGCTGATTGCTTTGCGTGTTATAATTAATCTGTACTTGAGGATGGACTGTTGTGGTTTTTGTGTATTGCGCTGACTTTGAAACTGAAGCAATTCTAAATTCTAGATATTGAATTTTTTGCATGTGATGCAAAATTGGTGCTTTTGCTTTTCCCAATTTCTTCTCTGTATATTATATGCTCCTAGTATTACGATAAGTAATCAATTTTGTACTTAGTTGTGTGGTTATCAGAAGATTTTCTTCTGCATTAGTTGTGGTAGATGAGTTTTGGGTAGATTAGGAGTAGGATGAAAAGTTGAGGTCTTATTGACACTTCTGGTTGATCATCTTCTTTGTATATTTTGCCTTATCATTTTGATTGACTCAGTTGATAAGACATATAGTAGCCAGACCTGGTAGCTTGAAAGTACAATCCTTTTATTTGGAAGCATTCATTGCCAGTGCAATTAGCATGGTAGATGGCGTGCTATGCTACATTAGTGACGTTCTGCTTGGTTGTGTGATGGAGTGTCAGGGGTTAAGTTTCCCCAGAATGTTAGATTTCTAAAATTGTCTTGTTCATAGGCTGACATGGATTAGCTTTCAGAGGAGGTGCTGAGCTTAATCTAAGCTAGATATTGGATTTTGTTAAAATCTTTCATTGCTACTTTTATCGACGTTGCTAATTATAATGATTTTTTTATTCTTGTGGTTTCTCATGCTAATTTGGTAGAGAAAGAAATTATTTTTTCATTCTTTTTAACATTTTGTTTTCTTTCAATCATGCCTTTGCCTTCTTTACATCATGGAATACTTTTAGAATAATTATCTTAGTCTATCAGCTGCTTCATGCAGCCCTTGGAACTAGTTTCTTCTTTACTTACTGTCTTGTTTTTTGGGCTGTGCAGATGGAGTTATGCATAATGTTGTTGGAGTGCTGCAGTCAAGAGAGAACTTACCTCCGCTATTATGGTTTGCTGGGGCAGCGTTTTTGCATGATCAACAAAGTCTATCAGGAGAATTTTGATAAATGCTTTGTTCAGCAATATTCAATGATTCACCGTCTTGAGACAAACAAATTGCGAAATGTGGCAAAATTTTTTGCGCATTTACTTGGCACAGATGCTCTACCATGGCATGTCTTGGCCTACATACGATTGACGGAGGAGGACACCACTTCTTCATCACGTATATTTATTAAAATCCTCTTCCAGGTGAGTGAAAAGCGAACTCTTAATCAGACTTTCTGTTGGTTTCATTTGTTTCTTTTGCTAAATTTCTATGGTAGAAACAACTAGTCAATGCTTTGAAGAATAGTATTTGTGAAATAGATGTCTGACTGACAAATTGCTTAGTCTGCATTGTGCTTAGAAGACTTTGGCTTTGACAATGATTTGTCATCTGGGCATTTAATTTGGTGGGAAGGAAAATTCACAGTAGGTCTCTCTACTTTGATTTTGGCACCACATGTATGCGGCCCATGAAATTGGTCTCTGTCTTTCCTTTTAGTAACTAAGAATATTTATGCTGAGTGGAACGTGCAATCATGACTGGAAAATTGTTATTCCCCAACCAAGTTTTAGACAAATGCATCACTAAGATGCACCTGATGAGTCGTGGCATGGTTATGTTTTCCAGTACCCTTTTGTATTGCTCTATTCGTGGGCAGATGTCAGTGAGTTCTTTAAGCGTTTATGATCTTAAATTAAATGCTTCAGATTGCTGATATAATTATTATCCACTCATACATACTTTTCATCAGTTTTCAACTTAGAAGAATCTTTGGTTTATCTCAAGCAGACTATATATTGATGTTTGTTCTTTTGCAGGAACTATCAGAGCATCTAGGGATCCGCTTGCTTAATGAACGCCTGAATGATCCATTAATGCAGGATTCCTTCGAGTCAATATTCCCTAGAGACAATCCCAAGAACACAAGATTCTCGATTAACTTTTTCACATCCATTGGACTTGGTGGTATCACTGAGAACTTGCGCGAATATTTGAAGAACATGCCGCGTCTCATTATGCAGCAGCAGCAGCAGCAGGCCTCGTCAGAAACCGATGAAGACTTGGGAAGTTCGAGCTCATCAGAGTTGGATGAATCCGATTCTGAATCTTCTTCTGAATCAGATTCTGGTTCGTCTGAACGGGACAGGGATAGAAAACGCAGTAAGAGGAGGAAGAGAAATTAGGGGATACATCCATTTTACTCGGCTCTTTCAACCAACTGTTGCGTTTACATTCTTTTCCCTTATTGTCATGGAAGGAATTTTTATTTGAGTTAGAAGAACATCTTTTCCTTTCCCACCACTTTCTTTTGGTGGGGCTAGCTTGAGACGAACTGTAATCGTGTACAGCGGGCGACATCGCTGGAATTGCAATGGTGAGGACCCATGTGATTTTGTGCTACGTTTTGCTCAAGCTTCAGTCATAGTGCCGATTCTGTCAATTCCTTCAGGCACAAACTGTCTCTTTCACTTTGAGAACCATACTGTCATACCATGTGATGTCTTCACTCGATGTCATTTGCTCAATCAAGTGTCGTTACGTATCGATTTCTGTTTCCAATTACACCGATCGAGCATCCTAGATTCGAGCTCTGGGCATCAGTGGTCATCTTTCGAACACGTCCATGGTCATAGACTCGTACAAGAGAGATCTATTTAATTGCCCGTCTCTCCTCCACATTCCCTTCGTAGCAGCATGGGGCCTCTTCCTATTCCACACACTAATGGCTTCACGTGCAATGTGTCATCTCGAACCTAGCTTTGTCCGGCATTAACTCTCGTAGGACCGGTTCGCTTGCGGTGAATTGAATCGGATCAGATCTACTTCAATTCGCTCAGCCACCACCGAAATTACTCGATAATCTGCGGCCGCTCACTGACGAGTGATTTCGCGATTTCTCACCTCGTGATCCCCATGAATCTCCAAACACGAGTTCACCCGCATCGAGATTCTTCTAAACGGGGCTCACCGTGCATGACAAATCTCTATCGACTTCATGATCTTTACCCTATGGACCGTCGGACAATTCAGGGAAGGAAAAATTCAGGAACTTTCCCTTGCGGTTGGTACTGTTGTCGACGTGCGTAACCTGTCTATATCCCATCATTTCCCCCTTACTTTCACCTGAAGAATGGATGTTTTTCCCCGTCGCCAATCGTAGTACAATCTTCTGGCGATGCTTAGCTAAGAAAAGGGTTCGATTACTTCGTTTTTGGTCACATCGATACGGACGAACATTATCTCCAAGTCCACATGACTTGTCATCCAAATTATTAGCTCACTCATTACCACTTTTAGCCCTTTCTTGGTGTGTGAACCCCATTCCATTTCGTGCAAGACTTTAAGACTAATGCATGAAATGTTATCAATCAACGTAATCTAATACAACATATACCTAGGTAAACCATAACAGCATTCATCCTCTAACACAAACAAGTGCACAAATTTCAGTAAATTCGGGTTGAGCGTGGATCCAGGACTCCGAGACCCCGACCCGGTTTAACATGCTTTGAGGGGCTTCCCGCAGAGGCAATCGTTGTACACGAACGACGACGCTTCGAGGTGGTCGAACGGTGGCCCACTAGGGATCCGCCCGCAGAGGTGGTTGTGGCTCAAGTCCATGTGCCCGATGAACGACGCAGACGATATGGACCTCGGGATCGGGCCGTGGAGGCTGTTGTATGATAGGTCGAGTGCGGTGAAGTAGGACCTTGGCCCGAAGACGTCCGGGATTGTGCCTTGGAGCGCGTTCCTGCTGAGGTTCAAGTTGCTCACCGCGGAGTTGATCAGGGTTTGGGGGATTGGGCCCGAGATCTTGTTCGAGTCGAGGTTCAGCGTGGCGAGGACTGCCATCTTGCCGAGAGAAACCGGGATCGGACCGGATAGTTGGTTAAAAGAAAGGTCCAAGTCTGCCAACCGGTATATATCCGAAACGGAGTCGGGTACGGATCCGGTGATCCGGTTCCCACTGAGCAAAGCCCGGCTCAACATCCTCATCCTCCCAAACTCTCGGGGCAATGGACCCGAGATCCGGTTGTTCCTCATGTCCAAGTGCATCAAGCTCGAGAGATTGGTCAATGACTGTGGGATCTCGCCGGTGATCATGTTGTCTGCGACGTTGAGCACCGTTAGGCGGTGGAGCTTCCCGATGTTCGCCGAGATCTCGCCGGAGAGGCGGTTCCCTATCAAGTCGAGGACCCGGAGGAACGGGATCGTGGTGATGCAGCTTGGGATCTCGCCGGTGATGCCCTTCCAGTCGGCAACCGTGAGGCTGGTAAGGCGCTTGAGCCTGCATACCGCCGAGGAGATGGTGCCCGTCATGTAGCCGGGCCGCTTCGCCCGCTCGAAGATCGGGTCCTCCGACTCGCCACGGAGGTTGATGTCGGCGACGCGGCGGGTCTCGGCTTCGCAGCTGACGCCGTACCAGTTGTGGCAGCAGTCGTCGCCGGTCCACGAGTTGAAGATGCCCAAGTAGGGCTCATGAAGGGCGGCTTTGAAGGCGAGAAGGGCCGCCCGGTCGGACGGTGGGCAGCAGTCGACGGGGGACATGGTGGCGAGAAGTAGCAGGGCGATGCAGAACAAGGTAAAGTCCATCGTTTTACGTTGCATGAGTGGGACGTTGCTTTGATTCTCTCTTCTAGGGTTATTGACAGAAGTGTGTTTTCGTGCGCAGAGAGAGAGAGGGAGGAAGAGAGAGTTATAGAGAGAACATGCATGCATGAAATGCAGTGGGGGTGAGGCTCTTATAGATGGGGGGATAAGAGTCAAATCATCTTCTTGCAATTTTTCAACCGGTTGTCGCGTATGAACATGTCGCGGAGGTTGACGATCAATTCGACCGTCCGGAAGTGATGAAGGCACGTAAAGATAGCTCCACATGCATTGTAGCATTGAAAAGGGAAGGGATTGAAGAGAGGACAAGGGTCGAATGTTTGGATATTTCGGAGGTAACGTGACATGTTACGAGTTGATATACAGTGACGGTAGGCTCCACGAACGCATTTATTATTTTAATGTGCCGATGCCCGCACATCCTATGCCTTTAATTCTCCCTATATTTTTTTTTTCCCAGAAAGAGAAAATACCCTTTAGAAGTTTTATATTTCAATAATCCCAAAAACCATATGAGAGCCGAAATAAAGCCTTTTAAGATCCTTTAGGACCTAAACATCACATGACATGTCATGAGATTTCAAGTGAATGATTTTCAATTCAGATAATTTTGTATCAGATATGTACGAGAATGGTGAGATAGATGGATTTAAATGATTGGTTTTCTTCTTTAACTCCTGAGAGAAGTTCTTCCCCCTGAGTTACCAGAGTACTATGATATCAGAACGACCAAAAAACCTAATTTCGAAATAGACTCGATGTCTTATATCTTCGGTCGTCCAATCACGACACCGCTCGATGTTGCCGCCGCCGGCCATTGCACCGACGTCAGTGCGGCGCTCTTCGTCTCACCGGACACCACGATGCTTTTGTACATCCGATGACCTTTGTGGCGATCGGTACCCTCCATGGTCAAGGCTAATTGACCTCGAATCTGACTCGACTCCGGTTGAGCTCGTGTGTCTCATAGGAAGAGAGCGAAAGTGCAACGCGACAGTGGTGTAGGGGAGGCAGCTATCGATCGATGCTGGTGGCAGTTACAGGCGGAGTGGACATATGATGTACACTAGTATGGATCAAAATTGCTACGTTGATCGAATCATGTAAATTTTCTTTATGATTTTTCTCGTTCAAAGTGTTAATCGAGTTAAATGGACAAGGCGTATCATGCCGCAGGACTACTAAAATCTACATGGGACATGCAACGTGGTCCCTCAAGAGGCACTTTATCTACAACCGCGTGGATGCCTTATGTCCACTATATTTTTAGGTTGTTCATATTTTCCATTATCGTGTATATATTCATTTACGGCATGAAATTATTGAATCAAAATGTTCTAGTTATATAAAACAAATTCTCGAAAATATTTAAGATAATTCACTTTCATAGGAGACCTTGGAATAATACATATGAACCTATGAGGCTTACTATTCCAACAACACACACATATGTTCGTCAAGAGGGAAAATTTTCCCTAGGCCGATGAGGCAGCCCTCACCTGAGGCCAGCTCGACGAGGCCCGGTGAGGTGATGGCCAACATGGGGAAAAAGATAAAAGATAGAAAGGAACAAAAGGCAAAAAAGTAAAGAAGGAAAATAGAAGAAAAGAACAAAAAAAGGATTAAAAATAATAATATTAAATTTGAAAAAGATTAAAATATTATTAAAATTTTTCCAAGTCAACGCCGGCCATGCTACATAGGACGGCCAGCGCCCACATCAATGATTTCCGGCCAAAATTGACTAGATAGATTCAACTGGCAAAACGTAAAAACATTTAGGATTTAATTGGCACATTTATAATTAAGGTTTATTATCAAATTAGCAAAAGTGTAATAGGTTTAAGATTTTTTGGACAATTTTCTCTCTCTCAAGAATCTCTAGAAAAGAAAAAAAATGGTCTTAAACGCAAAATTCCATCAATTGGATACCTAACTTTTTTTAGGTGTAAAATGATATAAGTAAAATAGATCCTTTCGTGTGGTCCGAACAATTCCAATTTCAATTGCTTAATTTTGCCTAACTTTTTTACATTATTTAGGGCTACATAATATCGAATAAAATAACTAATGTTGACTCTAATAAGGGAAAAAGTGGACTGCTTAATTGTTTATCATTATATATATTATATAAAATTTCGCTACGATATTTTGTTAAAGACCCTTTTATATATATTGAAAATACCAGAAAAAATAACATGGCAACACCACACCAATTATCCTGCCTGCATATATACCCGTATGCGCCTTGTTACATTCCTCCATTAGTTCCAAATGGAATCAGTGTTTAATTTATTATACGAAAATCAATTCAGTCATGAACTTTTTAATTTTATCAATTTAGTCATAAACGCGAGATACCAACGTAGTTATTTCAGATAATTTTCGTCGGGAAATCGCTAATATATCGATTCAATCGTTACTGGTCGTCCTACGCGGCGTGCGGCCATGTTATATTTTGTTAAAGCCAAATAAGATCTTTCGACGACGGAGTTAAAAAGCTCGAAAAAAATACCAGAGCGATTGGATTGTCCCCACCACCGGTCTCCTATCTCGAGGGCCACCCATTTCTGCTAATTCGGTGAGCAGTCCATCGTTCCGCAATCAATGCAGTTGGATTCAGCATTGTACGTTTGCTAGATCTTCTGCCCCTTTGTGTCGCACTCAAATTGATTTTGCACATCGATTGACCTTATCTCGAAGAAGATGGCATGTTACATTCCGAGAGAAGTGACGAGTCAGTCTCGACCCTCTTTGTCCATTTACCATATATATATATGAAAGAAAGTGCACATGATTGATTTGGGATAGTGAGAGAGGTTAAGCGTTTGGACCGTCTCGGAAGAAGTTAAATCGAGTGCCGGAATCTATCGAATCATGTGATTAAGTCCTGAAATTTATAAAATATCGTACAATCAAAGCATCTAGGTTAGATCCGTTCATTTTGGGTGACGAAGAAAGTTCATGCAGAAAATTTCTTTTTTATTGTATTTCTTTCTCCCGCATGATCTCGAGACAATAACTTTTGCTTTGAAACAACTATCGGTTCCCGAGATCGCAGAGACGACGGTTTCTGATATTCCGTAATATCCGGTTTTGTCCTATCCATCCTTGTAATCCTTGGTTGTTTTTCATACACGGCATTAAGGTCGATACATGCTCTAATTCGATCTGCACTGCGATCTCTGTACGTTGAATATATGGAATAGGGTTAATGATTATCATTCCAATTATACGTAGGAGCAATCAAACTCAGTCAAAGTACTAATAACAAAAAAAAAAAAAAAACTTCGGTGAATCAATCCTCGGGATTAAGATAGAGATATGAGTTACAAAGCTAGCTCGATTGACTGAAGCCTAAGACCAGAAAATCAAGCATAGAGATCACAACCACAACCACACAGCTGTTCTTGTTTCTTTGCTTATGAGGGAAAATCTTAAATGTGGCATGTCTCTCTTTTCCCATAGTTAGGCCAAAAATTGAAAAATAAAATAAAAGAAGCAATAAAATGGTAATATATGCTGCTTCATACATATGATGATTAGCTTAGAAATCATTACATTTTAGTTAGTGATGTTGCAAAAAATTTATTATGTTATTAACCTGATGAAGAATTTTGTAATAAAGACAAATTACAAGCTAGCAATATTGCCTTACCCCAAAAAAAAAAAAACTAGCAATATTGTGTCTTTTGAAAATTTGCAAAGGGTTATAATAGAAGAAGAATAATCGTGACTTGGGTTTTTTTTTTTTTTGCATTAAATCAAAATGTTCACTTTGCTTTTCCTATATTGAGAGAAACCAAATGAATGTTACTTTCATGTTAGCATGCATTAGTAGGTCTTATGACAAATTATCCGAGGATAACTTTTCGCTAATTATGTATTCGAGACGTGCTTAAGATGTAATTAGGCAAGTAATTATCCGTAGCGTTTTTGCGTTTAGTACAAAAAGGCAAATTCAAAGGAATTTAATTAATCAAAGGGAACGTCAACGATAAGTGCAGGCACTCATGCTAAGCTGCGTTTTCTATGAGCTTTCGAAATGCACTTTCCCTGTAATTTAGAAATTTCCAAGACATTTTTCTTCTCAATATCTTGAAAAAGGAAAAAATATATATTTGGTAGCCTATTGTATTAGCTTAGTGATTAAGAGATACGCTCGGGGTTTGTAGATTAGGTGCGCGGTATAGGTTCGATTTAGACATCAATATGTGCAAACGATTTCTTGTTCGGGTCAGCCGCTCATGTTCTGGTTGTGTCATACCTAATTTATTTGATTCTAAGGTATTTCACGGGTCCCAAGTTCACTTATCTAAGGCGGGCTTCCTCTCTGTAGAACAAAATTATGAGGGCCACCGATGCTGGAAACGGCCCATTTGCACGACACGACTCTACATATGAATTATAGAGAGAAAATCTCAATATGACATGACACGACATGACACGTCTAACTTTATATATTGATACAAATCGATACGAATTAATACGTTCTCGTCGTAAATCAATCGGTTGGCATCTAGAGTGAGAAATTAAGATGTTTGAAGCCGACACCAATCGACACGAATTATAGACACGGTTACGACACCCGATCCGAAATATCGGCCCTAAAAATTTTGGACGGCATGGATAGCTTGTAGGAGCAAAACTCTACAAACAAGAAGTTCGACAAGGAGTGGCCCGAGCCCATGCAAATGCCACTGGTTCGATCCAAGTTCCTTACGAACATTTTCTATTTTCATCTTCTAATTATTGCTTCTGGACCATGTTCTCTCTTTGTAGGCCCATGAAAGATTGGGATTGGATTTATTTTATTAACTTAATTTCACATCAATTTTGTAATTGCTAATTCGACTCACATGCGACATATATCGACTCCAATGAAGATGATTATTAAAACTCGACTTTATAACGAGTTGCGATGACAGGGTGTTTACGCCCGGATAATATGTGCAGGAAGTGAAGCAATTTAACGTAAACCTTCTATCAGCATCAAACTCTATCCTCGTTGATCCAATAGCCTGTCAATCAAAATTACCAAAGAGATGCATACTTTTCTTTTATAAGTGAAAAATCGCTAACGTGGCGGTCTGGTTATCATCAGCCGTCCTATGTGGCACCC